TGTGTAATTTTTTAAGGATACCTGAACAGCAATGTATATATGCAAATAACATGCAAATGATAGATAAGTAAAAGACTTTTACATTTAGTAATTATTTTTTTATTAGCTACAATTGAAAGTTTATAAATTGAGCTCATTGTTTAATCATGTGTTTTATTATAATTAATTCGGCACGTGTATCTTTTATGCTGAACGCCAACAACGATTCCCCAAACACAAAAAAAACAAAGCCTAGGGACGTATCACGGCGATAATTCACTTAGCAGAATAAGGATTCTTTTTAATGACTGTAAATTCTAATCTTCAAGAGTGTTTGTTCCCATCTAGCAGGGCTCATTATTTCCCAATAACTTGATGATGTGATTTGGACAAAAAAAAGTTAATTTGTGCCTGTTATCTATTATTTTGTTCTTTGCCAGTAATGAACAGTCCATCAGGTTTCCACCCACTCAATTTCACACAGAAGCTAAAGTCCATTTCATAATGCTTCTCTTCAAATTTCTATCATTATTAAGATTATCCTGAACATTTAGGTGCAGTACAATGATATTGTGAGACTGAGCTATTAGTTTTGATTAATCTGGATGGCTTGCAACTCTATATTAACAAACGGTAAGCAGGACTATGGGGAAGAAGCACAAGCTCTTTATAAACTAATCAGCGATTCATTGTGATATGGCAACTGACTTACAAAATCTAAGCCAGAATGTTATTTTGGCAAAATTTTGAGGTTTATCAAGATCAGCGATATTATCCTTTATCTTTGCCAACTGGATTCATAATCACTGCAAAATCTGAATTGTGTCAAGTATTTAACATTAACTAATTAAAAGTAGAAAATATATTATTTTTAACAATTCAGTAGAGAATATAATGTGTTTTTTTTTACAGGTTTTCTTTAGGAGTATATGCCAAACTATCTGGCAAAAGCTTTAGATCGGGTGTCTGCAGAGTGTGCAAGCCCTCCCCCCCTCCCACATCACCCCGGCACAGATTTTCAGTATGCTCCAGTATTTTCTTGTAAAAGTCTACGTGCTGATACCACAAGCATTCACACAGAACTGCACATCATCATGGCTTTCCTATGCTTCTCAATGAACTGTAATATAGCTCATTGAGAACGAGGAAGGCAGGTGCCAACTAGCCCAGCGTGCAAGCCAGGTCTGCTAGCTCTGTAGCACTAACCAAAGAAGAAGAAAACCTCCCTGGCCGTCTAAATTGTATTCCTGCCCCTATGTGCCTATTTGTGAAAGTGCCGATTTCTAATGAAATCAGCACTTTATTAAGTTGTCAAAAGTATGACAGACACATTAAGCACTTCAGCAAGCTTAAGAGCTTTAAATGTGAGGCGTGTTCATTTTAAAATTTACCAAAACAGACATCATCAGCCTCAAATATACATTATACCATGTATACATTTTACTAATGTTTGGTAGAGCGTGATGAAAGTGGGAGTTAAATGTCTTAAATTGATTGCCAGCTTTAAAGGTCATAATTGTATGAGAAAATTATACATGCAAATTAATTTTCCTAATTAAAATTCACTCGACATTGCTCCATTGTACTTGCACAGCCTCACTAGTTATTTTCACATGAGATATTCAGCATCCTAGTTACCTCATAGAAACACTTATATAGAACATCACATTCAGGCATTCTTAATGGGATAAGCATTCTACGATAACACTTCATGTAGCCTATCATCTATAGACCTGTCACCTAAATTAAACCTACATAGGCATTAAGAGGACACTATAGTCACCAAGACCACTTCATCTCAATGAAGTAGACTGTGTGCAGTGTCCCTGAAAAATATAGCATTTTTTTTAGAAATCTCTTTAAAAAAAAATGTAAATACACCTCTACGAGGAAGATTGAATATGTGTGGCTGCACTGACCACACATGTGCATTAGATCCCCAATGCCTCTATGAGGAGCATAGGATTTGACCACATCGGAGATTGTTATACTTTCTAGGTGACGTAAAGGGAGACAGACAGGTAAGCAGCACTAAGTGAAGTAAAACTTTTATTTAATTCATTATTTTTTATTTTTTATGATTGGGGGCCTTAATACAAGTAGGGACAGAGAAACTATAGCATCGGAATACAAGTTTGTTTGCCTAATGCTATAGTGTTCCTTTAATAAATGAACATTTATTTTTATAGAGTCCAAATGCAGAACCCCTGTTATTACATATTATGATCACCCACACCGTTTCAGTTGTTATGCTGTTTGTACCTCAATAGAGTTGGTATATCATGAAAATATATACATTTATGTAACACTACAAGATAATAGCTTGGAGCATCTACAAAACTCCATGTTCCATTTTGTTTGTCGAAAAACTTGCAACAGTTTGGTTGTTTTCCTTTGGTGAGGTGGAGTTGCATCTTCTGGGATGTTGTTTGAACTGGAACTGTTATTATTCAGGTTTTGTAAAATGTGAATACTGCAAGTAAATGTTCTTTTAGAAGATATGCATACAAAAATGTTCATAAACGTGCGAGAAAGTATAAATAGTGTATCTTACTTACTCCTGTTAGAAAATCTGTGTCAGGGACTCAGCCTGTAAAGAAATTACAAGTCCAAAGCCTATAACTTCAACAGAAGACAATAAACTGCATCAATGTTTAACAAATTTAATTTTTATTTCCAAACTAAATAAAAATACATTCTAAGACAAGGCCCACATATAATAGGGGCACCATACAGAGGATGCTACAATGTTTTATGTATCGATGGCCATTTCCTTAAACACTCTAAGGAAGTCCATGAGACATGAAACACATTAGAATCCTCTGTATGGTGTGTGTCCCTCTCCACTATGCATGTCCCTGGTCTTTGCATGGATTTTTATTTAATTTGGAAATAAAAGACGACCTTAAAAATTAGAGCAAATGTATTGCTCTATGCAAAGTGAGTGTTCAGGGGGATCCAGTTGTGTGCTCACGGTGCTCTGATGTAATGTTCTAATACTGTTTAGTCTGTTCATCATTTTCATGCAAACTGTAAACAAACGTCTCATTGGTGCTTCACATATTTTGCGTGCTTCACAATAATTAAATTATTATTACCGAAGAGTGAATATCTTTCAATCTGGTGTATAAAATGCTATTATTACCTCATAAATATAATATAAGGATAAAAGATTTTATTGACAAAGCAGATTATAAAACATGTTCTTTCTTGATATATTGGAGCATTGAAGTGATCTGGGTGCTGTGTCCCTTTTGCACTTAGTGCTGCAATGTAAAACATTGCAGTTCCAGAGAACTGCAATGTTTACATTATAGCTCTAAGTCTGCCCTCTGTGGCTGTCTAACAGACAGCCACTGGGGGCGCTTCCAGATTTGTAACAGACTTTTGGTCCGTTATCTGATGCTGGACGTCCTCACGGACCTCCAGCATCAGATTTTCCCCATAAGCCATTGCCGCGCATGCACATTGGTGCTGGCTGATGTTGGTGGGGGAGGTGCTTGGGTGGAACCTGACCCAGCACCAAGGGGCATCGGTTCTGGTTCAGGTAAGTAGGTGAAGGGGTTTTAATCCCTTCAGTGACATGGAATGGGGGGCGTGAGGGAGGGGGGCACTCCAGGATTCTCTAGTGCCAGGGAAACTAGTTGGTTTTCCTGGCACTGGAGAACCCCTTTAAGCAATAAAACAGACCTATTAAAAAAGCTCAGTGTGCAAGCAAATTTCTTAAGAGGTTCTGATTTAATCCCATGTGAATATACATATGATCACTGCTTGTCAAATTCCCAGCTACTTGTGCAAATATTAAGTAAACTTGAGTGACAGGTGTCTGTGCAGTTGAGTATCAATGGTAATGTCTATGCCACATTTTAAATCCATTATTTATTTATTTATTTATTACATTTCTCTACATAGAGGATTCCTATTTTTATTTTTACTGTTTGAAGTGAATTTGCAGGTGCTTAATTTCTAAATGTTTAAGATGCATGTGAATCAGGGCAGGTGAGCATTTTACAATAAATATTCCATGCAAAGAACTTGTCAGTATTTTCTCCTTTATATTTATAGTCTTATTTATAACCACATTTATTCTCTCATACCTCCCAAGTGTCCCTGTTATTTTAAAGAGACACTCCACTGCCCAAATACAAAAGAAATAAAAATCACTGTTTAGTAGATTTACTCCAAACAAAAACATTTATTTTGAATATTTCTAAAAAACATCTTGCAAAAGTTGCAGTTCTCTTGTCTACAGCCTCCCCTTCTAACCCCATCCAGACTTTCTCTGACTGTCCAATCGCAGACTTGCCAATGCAGCTCAATTAGCGGTCTTTGCAAGGCAGGTGCTCTGGGCTATTGCTGCCCCTAGAGTTCAGCTGCACTAAGCTAACATAACCAGGAAGTAACAGGACATGTTGTCTCCTTGAAAGCCAAGGGGGTGTAACCACTTTAATTTATAAAAGTGTAAATTTCTATTGAAATCTGCACTTTTTGAAGAATGAAAAAAAGAGGACATAGTCTTCACTCATAAAGCTTTTCAGCAAGCTAAAGTGATCAAGGGGTCTGGAGTGTCTCTTTAAGACAAGGTCCCTTTGTCCCCTATTCCTAACCAATTTCTGAGTGAATGAGTGTGTAACAAAGTTTTACATCAGTAATACACACCTAATATGCTTTAGACTGCATTCATGTCTAAAAGACAATCTGTAATATATAATACTTTGATCTTGTTCTGAATTTATTTTTCATCTAACTAAATGGTTTCCAGTAGGTCATAAAGTGTCCTGAAATTTCTTGGATTAGCCCCATGACTGGCCACACCATCAACCACATCCCTAAAATGTCCTTCTTGAGCCAATTGGAATATTATCATGGCTATGTCAAACAAGACATAAATGGATTTAAGACACTTTAACTTATATTCCATGATTTTAAATAAAAAAAAGTAAGCACACAAAAAAGAAAATGAATGATTATAATTTGATGTACAAAAATACATTTATTTTCAACAATTTCAAAACCACTGCCTTTTTTACAGTAGAAATATTTAAATGGAACAACAAAAGCAAGAGCTATGTAACAGATGCACATGTATTGAAATATTTATTTATTTATTGGAGAATATAAATAGTTAAAGTGAGTCAGAGTTATATACATGAATATAGTACCACTGGATTGAGATAGGCTCTTTTATCCAGGGGTTAGTGTGACATTGAAATGATATACAGATAATCAAAGGATGACATTGAGAAACTAAAGGTATTTATTAAATATATCAGCAAGCTTAGAACTAGTGATGTCATTTTTAGTTTATCTAAAACATAAAACATATTATGTTTGAGCTATTCAGTCCAGTAAAATGCGTGGGCAAATCAGACGTGCTCTGTCCATATTTTTAAAACATGACTGTACCATATCAAAAAAGATACCTCAGAACGAAGACTTGTTAATCTGGAACAAAAAAGCAATTTTTTAAAGAGATTTTTTTGTGTATAAACAGCTATATTTTGTTTTTATATATTTTGATTAATAAAACTTTATTCATCACTGTGATTTTCTGAAAAGGCATAGACATTAACTTTTTTTTTTTTTAATGATCACTGCTATGATTAAATAGAGTCAATGTCCATGGTTTTTACTCATATTTGCAAGTATTTCACTATTGCTTATTCTTTGACTTTGATGAAATGAAGGCTTTGAAGGATTTTTCCTTACTAAACTTGAGACAATTTGTTTTATTGAGCTAGGTAAACATATGAGACAGATTCCTTTGTATGCATTGTCTTGCCTTTCAAACATCATTTTTTTTTAAGTTGAATGAAGTTTTAAAAATCCTTGTGTATTAAAAAATAAGTTAGATAAAAAAAATCATTTTTAAGTAGTTACTTTTGTGTGTGCTTGAATAAAAATGCTCACATTCATGATTCATAGGTTCATGGATCACACACTTCCCTTTTTGTTAGTTTAACAGAATGAAAAACAATGAGGGTCTATGTCAGCATACAATTCTAGACCTTTAATCCACAGGATAGCTTTTGCATTTAGCATCAATAGAGTTCTATGTCATGTATTGTGCTCTATCAGATAGACTGACTTTCTAACTTTGCATTAGCTGGGTTCTTTGTATTGCTCTTTTAGTGTTAACTAGGTTTTATTGAATAATACAACCTTCTTCTTTTAACATTAGCATGGTTTGTTACTAAGGAACGTATTACTGATTTTGCACTAGACGGACTACGTAATACTAATTTAGCATTAGCCAGGCCCTATAACATAGAATGCCCAACTCATTTTACATTAGCTATACTCTATAGAATGGATTCTTCTAGTCCTTTAGTTTTAGCCAGGTTGTATAAAATGGAAGAACGGAATGTCATAATCATTTAGCATTAGTTGAATGCTATGAAATAGAATTCCTATTCATTTGGCAATTATCCAGATACTCTAGAATGGAATGTCATCCTCATTTCACTTTAGCAGTACTCTACAGAGCTACAGATGGTAAATAAGTGTGACATTCCATGTGGGCATAAGATCTTTAAGGCTTGTACAATTGCCATTAGTTCTTAAACTTATGACACCATTTTTCTAAATATTTTCTCCATTTATTTAAGGGGTTGTGATGGTTGATATATATTTTTGTCTGGTATCCCCAGCTGCAGCTGAGCCAAAACCTGGTCAAGGTTCTATAATTTCTGTCAGTAGAGTGTCCTCACATAAGTTCTACTATGTTCCGATCAGCAGGGAAAGATTATGATCTCACGGGGCAGTAGGTAGGCAAATAAATAGTTCTAGTGCCCTTGATGAACCCCTGCTCAGACTTTCCCTGAAGACAGGCAATTGCAAATGCAGTTTAAATTATTCATGTTATTAAAGTTCTAAAAGTATAGAATAATTGTCACAATGGGTTTTCTAGATTCCTATGACTCTTTCACTTCTGGGGGGCTGAGCAATGCAGCCTCGGATGTGACAATTTGAGTGTTGTTAAACAGGTTCTTGATCCCCACAGCGATATATTGAATTTATTAAACTGAGACAATAGTCAGTCAACCAAGCAGAGAGCTGGAATGTAATTGTATTTTTAAAATACTCCTGGTATTGTTTATGTACTGAAATTATAGCCATATTACACAGAGGGTGATTACATCCTATTTGAGAAATGTGAGCAAAACCTACATGCATCGATCTAAAGAAACAAATTCAATAAAAATCTGTTTTCTAGCGATCCGTGTCTGCAATATATCACAGTGTTTAACATTAGCATTCCGTGGAGTCTTTGGTTAGTAGACACAGGGAAAGTATAAGTATCTCTGCTGTACACAGGCGATATCTGTCGGTTTCTAAAGAATATACTCAATGGGGAATTAAGCAATGTGTGTATATTAGATCTACGGTGCCTCAAAGACGGCAGACTCTCCAAAGAAAATATTCTCAGCTCCAGCTCATCTTGTGAGAACATACAAACAGCTTAAACACACAAGGAAACTAGTTTTGTTCAACCCTGAAAGTCGCAGGAAGAGCAATGGTTTCGATTTAACCCTTTGAGTGCCTCTGTCATCTTCCTTCTATTTTCTAGTTGTTAAATCTCAACCTTGAACAAAATTTGTCCTTGACAGCCAACAGACGAAAATAGTAGATTGATTTAACCCTTTTGATGGATGTGTCTGCTCATTTAGTACAAACATTCAACTGCAACCTCAACCAACTCAATACAATATCTTACTAACCTCAAGAAGCCACATGAAGTAGATCCCTATATGTTATAAGCTTGCACCAACACAGAGCAGATAGTCTTATTAACCAAAGAAAGAGATTAATTTAACCCTTTCCATGTTCCTCTTGACATCATGAACCAACACAAAGAAATATCTCAGTAACTGTAGAGTGCATTAAACCATTTTAACTATTACAATTCAAAGGCAGAGTAGGAGAATCAGTTAATCTTTCACATAACATTGTCTGTTTTAGTTATAACTTATCCAAGCAGAGCCAAAACCAGCCAGTAGCAATGTGAAATTATATTTTAACCACTGACATCAAGAGGAAAATATTTAGATTGGTTTAATAATTTAATGTTCGTGCCTGTGATTCTAAATTATAATACTATGATGTAGTAATATGCATGTAACGGTTTATATTTCAACTGTTTACTTCCACACATGAGTTAAACCATCACAGTGTGGTTTATTTACTAAGCAGTGAGTTTTGGTGAAGTGAAAACAAAAATGTAACATAAAGGCCAAAAAGACAATATGGAAAATTTCCAGCTCAGCTTTTTATGCGCTAATTTTTGCAATTTGTTTATCTAATTAACCAATTCATAGCTCAGCAAATAATCTTCACATTCACGGTCAGTGCCATTTTGCTGAGAATATCTCTGTGCTCCAACAGGGTATAATTCGAACATAAGTCAACCTCTTTTTAACTGTCCAATGTATTGTCTTAACATTTTGGTAAAGGCATCTCCCCCAACATTGATATATATGTAATAAGGATAGGGATGGCCTCTAGGGGGCATCACCAGCAATGCAAGTTACGAGGGGCCGGAGTATGAGATCCCTGACTTAAACTGACACTGTTTAATCTTATTAATAGCTGAACACCAGAGGAATATATAGAGCAAAATATCAATTCATCTCCTTGGGTATCAGAGCATCTTTGAGTATCAGTGACAAAAGATTTAAACCCATTTACTCCATCATGGATGTAGATTTTATTTGGCTTGAATAAACCTAAACAAAAGACTGAACATTTTATTACGCGCACTGTAATATTTGTAAGGTGACTGTATAATACTGTCCAGTGAAAAATACATACTCAGTTGTTTTTTGGTTTTTTTTATCAAAGGTTTGTTTCTAAATATTAATTACATTTTAACATAAACATAACTAAATATATGAAGAAAACATTCAAACCAATAATAATCAAATAATAATATGCAATATGTCATTACTACACAGTAACAAAAACACACAACTAAAAACATTGGGAAATATGATAAAGAATTGTTTAGAAAAAAGTGTAACAAAATGGTGTCTTTTAGCAACAGTTAAATATTTATCAAATATGGTGGGTGAATACGCTAGTGACACCACTGGGATCAATAAATACGGATCCTTAAAGAGAGTGACAATACAGTATTAATATTACACTAGGATAGGACAAAATCTAAAACTCCGAATACCATTTTTACCTCTCTTTAACCCATATTTATATAAAGTTCATAAATGTGCGTACTAAATGTTACATATAACATGGGGACATGAGGCTGGGCTACAAATTCCTTTAGGGAGATAATTGTTTTGATCAGTCCTACACAAGACATGCCCCCATAATGTAAAAGTGTAAGTCACCATTTTTTATAAGTTATTATATTAATAAAACGTATCAGTGATGTACAGACAATCAGAACTCAAGCTAGTACACATTTGTAATCTTATATTTTGGTTACCAAATGTGATTTTATTCCAGATAAGACTCACTCTATCAACGTTAGTCACTCAGTATCTCCATCAATTAATCATTTGTTTGTATTACGTAACTTGAGAAAGCAACATGTTAAAAATCATGTGCCTATTAATGGATGGCATTATCAATAGCATCATCAAAATAAAAATCAGAGCAACGATGTAGGAATTTGAGCTTATATCGAATAATGCGACAGAGACTAATTTATTTATGACCTATATTGAGAATAATTGCTAATTATTCTAAAAATAGAATAGTCTCCTTCTCCTAATAGTTTCCTCCCTGCCAATAAAATCAGCATTTAATAATGAGAAATTTATATTTTCTAGTGTCTCTCTATAATATCATCAAGAAAATAGAAAAAACTATCTGCAATATAATATGACAATTCATAAAATATAGCAATGATTTTTATATGCATAATATTGTCTTAGTCCTAATATAACAGAGACCCTAGATAAATTAATCCAACCCTCTCGCCCCTTAATATCTATCTCACCCACACATACTGAATAATTAATACATAAACTCAGTCTTACATTTAACTGTTGGGTCATTTTCAAGAAATATCTTTAATCGTATGTATCTTAGTTTTACTCAAAACGGAAAAAAAATACATTCTCCAAAGTACACTATAGATTGGTAATATATAGAATATTTCCAAAATTTTATGTCAGTATAAGTAAATATATACTGAACGTTATATGTTGGTATCCCATACAATAAACACATTTATATATTTCTCCACCTGAGTAATTTTTTACTATGTTACATTAACATCATTTAGACTAATTCTCATGTCTGCTTAAAAAATATGGCAACTCAATTCTTAAAGTGAAGTTAAGACTTCATATTAAGTTAGATTTATGTAACAGAGCATTAGATACATTCAAATGTATGTGTAAGAGTTATGGAACATGCCTATTTTCTACTTATTTTCTACTTAAGTCCTTCACGTATGTGCATTTTCTGGTCTCCGATCAGACCAGGAATTATACCTATGTCCTGATTGGCTTAGAAAACCAAACCAATCAATTTAGTGCTTTGCTTTCATATGGGTCAAATTAATTATTGTGATCTTCTCTTTGCTGATTTTATTACCTGCTTTCTCTTAGAAAAAGAGCTTGTTGTATCAGTAAAATGCATAGACAAATTACTTTTGCATAATGAACTTGTCTCATTGCATCATTGTGTGTTAAACCAATATACTTTTAAAACATAATGAATCTCTCGGCAGCACAAAATAAATACACTTTCAATTTAAACGTACAGTATGGAAAAATAGTTGGCGATTGTGTTAAAAATAACATAGCTCGAAAGAGTTAGATACCTTTAAAACTATATCTCAACTTCCATTACTTGATACTTGTACTTAAAACATGAAATATCCCATCATGCACCGGTCATTCGCTTTCTTGGTTGGTTGGATGACATCCTTTTTACTTTTTTTTTAAGAACTATGCACTGACTCACTTGTTTGTTCACGTTTAGTTTGGGTTTGGGAATGGAAGAGTATTGAGGGATACTAATTAAGGGCACTAAGCATAGTGATTGAGGCAGATTGAGGCTAATAGGAGTGTATGATAGTTCTAATACACAGTGAACCTAGATTATAGGTGACTAGATTTTAGTGTATTCCGAGTGCTTATAGGCATATTATTACTACAAGCTATCTTAAATCTAGCCTCCTCTCCGCTATGCTATCCTTTGTTCATCCTTCTACTTTATAGGAACTTAGAAGTGATAAGAATTGGACTGATTAGCATACTCTGGGTACATACATTCTTATATGTAGAATGAACCTCTAATTGAATACTTTTACAAGTTTTGAGCCATTGTGGTTATTACTTTTGTTAGTATTTTTTTTTCAAATCATTTACTCTTAGCTTCCTATCATCTAATTACTACACTCTTTTATGTATGCACTTCTAAGTCAAATTGATAGTTTAGGGGATATTCCTTTTTTCTCTGTCCATGAGTGTTGATACCATTTAAAGCACACCCAATTAATATAGTTAAACCTATTCTCTTTTTTGCATCAAATTTCTAATTGATAGGTGTCTATTTTGTTTTTTGGTTACAATCATGGACAGGGAGGATGATACATTTTTGATCTAAACATTATTCCTCAATTTAATTAGCAGTTAGTGAATGTGTAACCTTATGGGGGTTCTCTTAGGCAATGCACAATAAAGCCTGGACGGGTCTCTCATTAATGGTTACTTTATACTGCTAATCTTTAACTGTCTTTCCCTACTGGACTTTATATATAAGTTCCATCCAAGTAGTTCACTTTCTAAATACCAGGACTTGAGATCCTCGCTCTGTATGGATCTCAGGTGATACTTTGTTCATATATTATTATTAGGGTAAAAGCCCAGGGCAGAACTGGTACTATACACACTGACCAGCTCTCATTTGCGTTATTTGCATCATTGAGGGGTTATTTTATAATCATTATAATCAAGTACATTTTGTAAATAAAACACACAGATTGGTGATTACTGTGTATAGTGCGCTTACAAATGTAATTGAGTTAAAAATAAGCAGCTACACACTCTAGTGGATACTCTCTTATCCCCACTAATTATAGTAATGAACCAAAGTGAGCTTAGTACAATCTGGATATAACGTCCAGACTCTACTAATCAAATGAGTGGAGCGCTAAAGGTATAAACTTACCCTAAAATAGGGTTAAATCTCAGATGTATATCAGTACATATAAAGGAAACAAAAAATAAAACACAATATAGTGGATATCCAGAGCCAGGTTCTCATTGGCTCAGGAAAAGGTGAGCACAACCATAACCACTGTGTTTTTTATTTTTGTTGAAACTTAATACACTAGGAAGTCTTCCTTTCTCTCTCCTTTGAGGAAATCCATTCCAGGCAAAAGGGTGCAGTGTCTCCATACGACACTACTGTGCAAGTGATTTGAGCCTGTCCCTTTGAGGCTCTGATCAATGTGAGTTTGACTACTTGAATTATCACCAAAATACATTATCATCTGTGGATTTACACATTTTGTAAATGTTTCCCCAACATGTGGTCTGTGTAGCGGAAATATTTCTGCCAGGGTAAATTAAATATCTCTGCCAGGGTAAAACATTTGGGTATTTTATAGGAAATACATCTGTTTGGGATGCTTGGCTGGAAACTCCACTTTCAAATAATGTGATTACATCACCAGACCCATGTCTCACTCTGAAAATATCCATTTAAATCTATTTCTCAACTCAATGTTTTTTTATTCAATATTCAGACATTATGTTTGCTATTTCATAATTCCATTTCTGATTTACAGTATTCACATGCATCAGATGTTGAAATACTTTGTCATCTTTTGTTCTCTGATTGACTGATACCCATTTCCAATTTAGGCTAAGACCCGATTATTAAGAATAACAAACACTTTGAGATTTACCACAGGAGAAGGATAGCCAGACACAAAGGGTTAACAACAATATCAAGTGCCAATGATCATAGGGCTGGTATTTATAAGCACTGCTTCACAATTAAGTACTTGAACGCTCCAGACTGGAGTTTACTAATGTATTTATTATGAATGAAATAGATCAGGGCTCATAATTCTATGCCCTGACTGAATAGCCAGTCTTTAAAGTTACTCAAAAACATTTTACTGAAGTACATGTGAAAACCATTTTAGAATATACTACTGTCAGACAGAATGGCCTACTACTGGGCAGAATGGGCTACTACTGAGTAGGGGAGAATGGGCTGCTACTTATACTGGCAAGAGCGAGGAGGCACTACGGGTAGTAGGGAGAGAGAATATTTGCTACATGGGAATCGAGAGTTGACACTGTGAATTGTCTACAACTGGCAATGAGAATCGGGAGTTGGCACATTGATTTGGCCACAACTGGCAAATGGGGAGAGTGTAAACATGGAATTTGTGGGCTTGTGTCATGTGAAATAAAATGTGGGTGCAATTACACCCCCTTCATTCAATCACATGCACAGCACGCCACATTAGCATTCTCACATACTTTGCAAAACTACACTCTTACATCCATACACTCTGACACACCATGGACACTCCTCAAGTAGGAAACATTACTAAAATGCTGTGTGCCCACTTGAGGCATTGACTGAGTTTTAGTCTTGGTTGGCAATGTAAGCATTGAAATATTGTGCCCTGGTGTATGGTGGCTTTCTACCTTATTTATACCAGTGTATACAGTATGAATGTGCTACATTGGGACAGTATACATGCAGCATATCTCTTTCAAGTTTGATACATTACACAAAAAAAGTATGCAAACATTTTAAAATAAAAATAATTAAAAATAAAACAATGCCCAACATTGAAGTATCTGCATTTGCTGCAAATTTATTTTTTTTGCAGCTTCTACAGTAATTAATCACCAAATCTAGAATTTGCTCAGTCAAACATGATGCTTTGTTAACTTGCTCTAGTACTGCTGAGCTTATCCTGCAACCAGTGATTTATGGGTAGAAGAACGATTTTTGGGAGTTATAGTTCAACTGTCAGTTTTCTGCTGTAGAAAGGTATGAACTTGCAGTAGAAGTATAAGAACTGAATTGCCCCTTTAAATCATTTGCAACAAGGGGTTAGGCAATTTGTGTTAAATTATGTAGCATGTCATTGGTCATTAACAAGTAGAGTGCTACTTTGTGACATCTGTAGGGAACACCCAATTCTAAATCAGTGTAAATATTGATATATTGAGAGCTCCTTTGGGATCTCCTGTTCTATAAACCTCTTTAGATAAATAGAACACACGTTGTTGCTTAGGCAGGGATGAAAATAACAATCTCCCAGCATTATCCCTGGAGTAAACCAAAAATGATGTATATTCCCAAAAGATAAAGCAGGATTTCGATACAACATGACAAACAACTCAAAACCCTGAAAACTAGTTCAATATCATGGGTGGCTTAGAACAGACTATTTTCCCCATTTATATTACTAAACATTAATTTTACCACATGACAGGAGGCTTCATATTTGCATATCTTTCTTTACTGAAAACTCCAGCAGCATAGAAACATAACAACCAATCAGAAAAAAGTTATGATGCCCATAAAAGGCCCTGTCTATGACATCACTTCCTCTTTCTTTGCTGCTCCAGCCATACAAAGGTCAGAGTATTTTACCTCTCTGGTAGATTCTTAATTTACACAGTTTTTTTGATTGTCATACCACTATATATTACTCTATTTATTGCTAACACCTGCTACCTTGGCCCCCCTTATTCCTGTCCCTTCACTGTATCCCTCTGTTTTTTTTTTCCCCCTTTTTATTTCCACCTTACTGCCTGGTATCCGCAGGGGACTGTATGGGGACGGGTGGAGGGAGGCTGGGGTCAGTGTTTGTGTTGCATTTATCCCCTTTGTTTTGCACCGCGCGACCGCGATCCGCGGCGCACCTTCACATGTGGGCGGCGGCCATCTTGGATCTCGCGGCTCGCGAGATACCCGACGGCCGCCTTCCCTGCTCGCTCGGCGGATCGGGAACTCACCCGACCGCCGGGCTCCACAAGTGTATGCTCTCCCAAGTGAACAATGGGAGAGTGCAAGCTGGATTTCAGTTTTTTCTCCATGTATTCTTTCAATGTATTTTGCCACAGTGCCTGCCAACAGTGTCTGCCAAACAAATACTTACATGCAGGCATTAAAGGAGATTATGTCTTTGTACCTTACTCAGGGTCTATACCCTATACAGGGTCATACCATATTACTATACCCTGCACAGGGTCATACTATATTACTATATCCTACAGGAATCACCCGATCACCGCACCCTGCATCTGGATTAACCCCTTCAGGGATCCCCCTCTCTGGGCACATTCATTTATTGATACAATTATTATTTTTTTTTTTATTCTCATGGATATATCTCTCATGGTGCCTTACACTGGATGATTATATGTTGAGCAGGCACACAATCTATGTATTATTGTGAAGCCATACAATATCACAGTCGTTATACAAAACATATACTGTACCTATAACAAGATCAACTATATCACTGTACCCTAAGAAGGGCATATTGTGTTACTGTACCCTACAAAGGGCATATTATTTTATATTATTGTACCCTACAGAGGGTCATATTATATTACTGTACCTGATGGTGCAAATTTATGTGGGTGTCCTCTGGGTATTTTTTCATGGCACACCACCTGGGGTGACCCCCCAGATATGCATGCAAGGTCACTGACAGACCATTACCTTTGATGTGGGTGTCCTCTGGGTTACCATGGCACACCACCCGGGGTGAACCCCGATCATATGCACGGAGGCCTACGCCGCAACTTTACCACTGATTACTACAGACATATATGAATGTTTAAACACTGCCTGTCAGTTTTACATTAAAGCAACAGTACCATGCCGGATGCGATTTGACGGCAGGATCAAGAAGAAAACTGAGTGTATTGTGGTGTACCCTTCACAGGGATACATATATGTATATTTATTGTGCCTAGTGTACATATTGAACGTGGGTGTCCTCTGTAATTTTTCATGGCACACCACCTGGGATGACCCCCAGATATGCATGCAATGCTTGTAAGGTGCCAATAATTATAATATGGGTGTCCTCTGGGTTACCATGGCACACCACCTGGGATGAACCCAGCCTAATAGACATGGGTCCTGCGGCCGCAGACCTTATGGAGACAGGCCCCATGCGCCTATATATAATAAGCCTGTATAGTTAAAAACCGTGCATACAGCTCTGGCGTACATTTGTGGTAAACCCGGCTAGCCAGACCGACACCACTACCAGTCAGTCGTGCCTGCACCACGGCTCTCAGTAGCCAGATTAAACTAATAGAGGTGACCCCTCTATACTTGGCACGAGTATTCATACTCTCAGACATACTAAAGCAGGCAATTCAAACCGTTTTACCTGGGTGATCCCCAGTTCTACCAGGAGTCTAACACCCCTACGTGCTGACCCTCACACTATCTCCCAACAGGACGGGAACGAGTCATGGTGGACACTCTCAACGTTCCCAAGATTTCTAGGCAATGCTAAACGCCACAGTAACGGCCTCAGTGGAGAGGGTTCTGTTATGAACTCTACCCCACACTGCTTGATGGAGACCTCAGGCCCACAAGCCTTCAAGTCAAAACGGCAAGGGAAGGGCTCCAGTCCCCCTGCCGCTAAGGTCAAGGGCAAGACGCCCATCGATCAGACCAAATAGGCGGAGCACAGGGAATCCAAACCTCGTCCGCCACAATCTTCCGACAAAGAAGACTATTACCCACCACGTACTTTGGACATGGTAGATGAGCGACACGAAGACAGCTCACCGTCTGAGGAAATGGAACGGCAAGACCTTCCCCACACTTCCTCGAAGTACGTTAGGGAAACCTTACTCTGTGACGGCGGCTGAGGCAGAGATAACTGTAGCGGCACTAAACCAGAGTAGCCGAAGACGGAACGTTCCTGGACGAACACTATTGGCTGCGCAACCCTCGGGGGATGGAAGGATGCGCACGCCTCAAGACCGAGTTACCCCAGGGTACACAACTCAACCCTACCACCTCCAAAGAATGGTCTCAATGCTCGATATGCCTCCTGGGCAACGTAAATGACGCACTATGCGCCGACAGACGCAAATCTGTACTGGGCCGCATCGACAACACACTATTGGGCTTAGGAACGACAAGAATTCGGCCCAAAAGCACAAGGCCTACTATTCGACGTAGTGTTCATTGCAGTACTCAAAAAACACGTGAATTTATTCACCACACTAAATTAAACCCAGACCTCGCTAAAACAAGTCTTCCACAACCCTACGGGGAAAGGTGTTTCTGGGAGGACTGGTCGGTAGCTGAACTGAGCCACCAGCCACTCCTGGGCGACAGGTTCCAGATCGTATACACAGTCCTCATATTTCTCCCATCTACTACACAAAGGAACCCATCCGCTTCATCTACTAGTGTGTCAACCTACATAACTAACTGTTTCCAATATTATGACCGGCGATGCCTCTTATACCTGGAAGACTTGCTGATTCTTTACGAATCCAGGCTACGTTTGCAGACAAATTTGTCGTTCACTTTCGGGACTCCATGTGTTTTTTGTTGTACACAGACAAAGATCGCTTCCCCATCTGAATCGGGCCAGTTCCTCGGTTTCGACATCAGCTTGGAGAACTACGTTCCGCGTCTGTCTACAGCAAAGAGCGCCTCTATAAGGATAGCTGCCGGATTGTGGGATTCCTCTCCTCCTCTCCTCCTCCATACAAGCGTTATTCCCTGGCCCACTACGACTGATGGTGAGATAGGTACGCACCGGTCACTCATACGACACTGGATCCCACTGTCAGCGGAAGTGAGGATGGAATTTCGATGGTGATTACTTCACATACAAACTTGGATTGGCAAAACGACCTTTGACTCTTCCTTCGGATACGGGGCGATGGATGAACCCCTGCAAACGCGACCCAGCCATTCTCCACAATAGCAAGGGTGCTTCGATACACACACACACCCACAAGATATCGCTCCTGCTCATGACACCCCTCGGTCAGGGCCAACTGTGATTTCCCGGATCGCCTGGAGATGTCTCGCGAAGACCCTCTACAACTCCCTACCTTCCCTCTACTTCTGACGGGACCTCGAGGGGAAGCTCACTCCCTTGTCATGGAAGGACAACTGGCACTATTTGCCTGGACGGCTTCAGGGGCTCCTGGTCAGTTCACGACCTATTGCATCAACTAAGACCTCCTATGGGACTCATAGGCTCCCGGCACCAGGAAAGGCTATATTTCTGCCTGGTCGGCCTGGAGTGATTGGTGTGTGGAAAGGGATTCCGATCCCTTTACCGCACCTATCTCACTGATCCTCAACTATCTGTCACACCTGGTCTCGTTGGGTCGGTCATATCGATCCCTCAACGTGATCAGATCCGGCATATCGGCGGCGCACGTTCCGGTACAGGGCAGACCAGTAGGTCAAGATACACTGGTTTGTCGACTACTGCGGGGTGCCGAATTGTCGAGATCCCTGCACCCAAATATTCAAGCCTCTGGCAGGTGGATGTGGTGCTGAGATTCCTTAGGGAATGGCCGGACAATCCTTGTTTGTCACTGAAGCAACTTTCAGCCAAACTAGCACTCTTATTATGCCACGCCTCATTTAGACGGTGGCGGACGTTAGGGCTTGCGATATGGATGGTTTCTCTCTCACACCAGACGGGGTTACCTTTACCATGTCGAGACGAACTAAGTCTGATTCGTCTTCAGTGTCATACCCATGCTTTGTGTCAGACGCCACACTATGCGTGGTCAGAACGCTAATGGGGTACACCAATATCTCTACCCCCTTCGAACTCATTCGACGGATCACCTTCTGACTTCTTACGTGAACCCTCATGGACCGGTGTCTACCGCAACACTGGCCAGATGGGTCCGCTGGTTTTTGTCTTTAGCGTCGAACCTTGTTTCGGAGCCCACTCGGTCAGGGGAGCGGCGGCCTCACAAACCTTTTCGGCCGACGCTTCCCTAGCCGACATTATACGCTGCGCGGACTGAGCGCGAGAGAGTACGTTTAGAAAATTCTATTTTCGGCAAACATCTCATGTTTCCTTCACATTGGTCAATTCAAAGCTTTAAAAATGCAAATATGAAGCCTCCTGTCATGTGGTAAAATTGAAGATTATATTAGCTTTAGTGTACTAATAATCTTAATTTTAGTAATGACAGGAGGCGAATATTTCCCACCCTATAGGATCCCTCCCATGTTTCTCGTGTTGAACAGAATATGTCCTTTATGTTCAGGAAGGTAAGTACGTATGGTTTGTATGTTTGCTACTTAGACCTGTACCTTGCGGGTCTTGTATTGGCTGAATATTAGACATGAACCTTGCATTATGTTGTGTTTATAGATCCTTAAATATCATTGCGTTAGAATAAATATATATTGATATGTTTCACATTCTAATGTTCGTTGGTATATCAGATGCTTATGCTTATTGTATGCGGACAAGTTATCACGCCAGATACCTTTCACCTTTTTCTTTTTCTTGCAGCGTGAACGTCTTCTCATCAAGACAAAGATTCACCTTCCATACCTCTGCATCGCGGAACTAATGGTGTTGGATATTCTAATATGTTGTTGAACTAATGACGTAATATGATTATGTCTCTTGTTGTTATTTATTGTTTCGCTTCAAAGAAAGAGGAAGTGATGTCATAGACAGGGCCTTTTATGGGCATCATAACTTTTTTCTGATTGGTTGTTATGTTTCTATGCTGCTGGAGTTTTCAGTAAAGAAAGATATGCAAATATTCGCCTCCTGTCATTACTAAAATTAAGATTATTAGTATACTAAAGCTAATATAATCTTCAATTTATTTCCAAGAAATTAAAAAGCTATTTACATCACAGATATTTACAAGATGCCATCTGAATTGCTATTAACATGCACAGAGTGAGAAGCCTTTCAATGAACTGCTATTGTGAAATGCACTTACAGAGTTTATTAACATTTGGACAGAAGTGGCAGCAAAGACCACCCGTAAGTGAAGGATTCACCCATCAGTTTAGCTTGGCACAGGTTTAGGACAAAGAAAAATGTATAACATATATAGTTAATCGATGATGTGTATATTAATATATTTTATATATATATATATATGTATATATATATATATATATATAATATAATATAGCTAAGGACAGAGAAAAAATCTATAGTATCTTAATAAATGTAAACATGGGTAATTTTGTGACTCGGGCCAATTAAAATTACAAAAAATACAATAAAAAAAAAAACAATGCACATAACATAAATAAATAAATAGAAATCAGTTTAACGTTTGACAATCAAACCATTTTCTAAAAGCTATGCCATAGTAGAATGTATTTCCAGTTTAAAATCCTCCCCAAATTAATTGCACGCATTAGTTACTCCAGCCTCTTTGCAATTAACCTTTTCAGTGCCAGAATTAATCCTCACCAGGGTATAACAGCAAGTACTTGATAGTACCCCCCCTCCCCCACCCCGGCATGTCGTTAAATGCTCATGACATAATCTCAAATTATATTATCTTTCAGAGTGCCATACTTGACTGCAGCCGGGGTATAATGTCAATTGCATGATAGTAACCCTTTAACTGTAGTCATGTACAACCCTGTAGCACTAAAAGGGTTACTTTTGAGGCTGACAGATGAAATGTTTTATGACTGATGAATATTGTAACAATATAAAATAACAAGTAACCTGCTTTGTTTTATTTGTTTGGGGATTTTTGATAGTTTTAGTTTTTTCTTCCAATCCTTGTCTCCAATACCTGGAACTTGAAATGTGCATTTTATTAGTAAGAGATGTATTTTTTATTTTTTTAGATGTAGTATATGAAAGATATTGATAAGAGAATAATGGATTCTTGCTTTCTCTCTTATCTGCACCGAAGTGAAAGTGAAAATTCTTCATTGCCGGCGCTGAACATAAAATTAAGATAGAACAGAGAGTTTAATAACAAAATATTGAGTACGGAATCTCTGGTGATTCACATTCCACATTTTAGATTTCCTGTTTTACACTCCACAGTGTCTGTAATAATCCATTCTGAACATGGCCATGCAAATGAACACCTGGCTTACAAAACACCTTCACAGGGATATCCCCAGGGTCTAGCCCACAATGAAACGCAGCTTGTATCAGAAGAATATAAATGAACATCGCATGATGTATCTCCAGACTCTCAGAAACCAAGCTTGTCTCAAAGTAAAAGGTGTTTATTTCCTCTGGAAACAAGCTCTTAGTTCAAGAAGAAAGAGAGAAGCAGATGTTTTATGTCCTTCTTTGATTGGCTGTGGTTTTCATTTTTTCATTTTTTTTTTTATGTTTGTCTTTTTTTTTGTAACAAATGCATCTCATCTACCTGCCATATGTATAAATGTGGCAAAGAGAGCAAAAATAGACTGAGAAAAGAAAAAGAAAGTTTTGTTCTGTCTCATAAAAAAGTCTGGATTTTGACCCAGGTATGTTTTTTCTCTTCCTGTTAAACACTTGTACAGTTTGGGATTTCTTTTGTGCTTTCGCTGTTTGCGATTGCGGAGATACAGCCTGAAAAACAAAACAAAAAGATTGAATAATAATGAGTATTTAGGGTTATAATTTAATAAAATCCTATCTGAGAACATTGCAGTCATACTGCATAGACATCCCCTATCTATATCTGAATGGAGGACGTAATTGTGGTTGACTCATGGCTCGGGTGTTGAAGGAACACGTCAATCTACAGGCAGATTTCCCAGGTATGGTTATAATGTGACAACCTTTAATTAGCTGATTATACCCTATCCCTTTCCTCCTCTGGTACCCTGAGTATGCCACACTGTATCATCTGTCACACCACCAGATTTAGAGCAGATCTACTTTACAAAAATATATTTCTATTAGAACGTTCATTCCATTGAAACATGAATGGCATAAAGTAAGAACCTAAATCTTTGGAAATGGACAAGCTTGATGATTTGTTAATCTTAGTTTCCCCAAAATCATATCCCCACTATCTTCGTGTCTCTGCATCTTTCGTTCTTGTTTAAGTCAATAAATCCCTTACTTAGCATGCTGTATTTATTATGAATTTAGTGCGAATGCTAGCCCTTCTATAGCACGTCTAAGCAGGATATCAAACACAAAGTGACGTCAAAATTCTTTATATTGCCCTCTGCTAAGTGTTCTTTACAGGCTAAAGGTTCGTACAAATGGTTGTCATTGATAATGCACAGATAAAGATAGATGAGCTCCATGTATGAATGTCAAAATGAATGAATCTTCAGTTATTCACACCTTACCATCTTAAGTGCAGATATCCATAAAACACTATGAAATGTCACACTATGCACTACACATGTGGTGTTGAGTGGATATATTTTCGTTCATTCATTTCATTTCATTTTGTTTATACATTTGCTAGGGATCTAACAAGCACAAAATGTTTATTAAATTTTAATCACGGGTCTTTTCGTGTACTTTTGCATAGATGACAGAACCACTTAAGAGCGAATTAACTTTATAAAAATGGATCCGTGTGTTTTTAAATAAAATAAAAAAAACAATGCATTAAATAATTAGTTTATTGTTTTGTTTTTTTGTAGATATGATTTATTAGTTTTGCTTTTAAAAACAAACAAACATTGTTTTCAAGTTACTACTAACATAAATGTGAATCAGCAGTTGCTAAGGCCAGTAAGGTTTTGTCATGTATAAATAGGGGCATTAATTCCAGGGATGAAAATATAATTTTTCCTCTTTATAAATCACTGGTAAGACCACACATTGAATATGCTGTGCAATTTTGGGCACCTGTTGTAAAGAAGGATATTTTGGCACTAGAACAAGTGCAGAGGGGGGCTACGCAATTGATAAACGGAATGGAGCATTTTAGTTATGAAGAAAGATTACATTTAAATAAATATCTTTAGTTTTGAAAAACGGCGCCTCAAAGGGGATGATATACAAATATATTTGGAGCCAATGCAAACTATTGTCTGGAAATATGTCTAAAAACAGGACTATACTTTGGACATGAGGTCATGAATTTAGACTGGGAGAAAGGAGATTTAGTCTAAGGCAAAGGAAATGTTTTTTACAGTAAGAACAATACGAATGTGGAATTCTCTGCCTGATGGATTTATCACAGTCTATACAGATGTTTGAACATTATTTGGATAAATACTTGCAAAACCATAACATACAGGGATATCATTTTTAATTAGTGGGATAATTGATTATCCCATGATACAATGAGATATCTGACTGCAATTCTGGGTCAAGAAGGAATTTTTTCTTAGTTTGTTGCAAAATTGGAGGCGCTTCAGACTGGCTTTTTTGCCTTCTTTTGGATCAACAGCAAAAACAAATGTGAGAAAGGCTGAGATTGATGGACACAAGTCTCTTTTCAGCTGTGTAACTATGTATATTTTACCATCTGCCTTTTCCTTCTGTAGCCTGAATAAGTCCCAATGAGAATTTGTGATTAGTTACTATCTAGTTACTATATCTTTCTTTTTCCCACAATAAGTCCCATTGCAATATCAGGCTGACCATAGGCTTCTCTAAGAAGTACATTTTCACCTACTGTTCTCAAATGTATTTTGTTAGAATTGTTTGTCTTGTTTTACTTATTGTACAGAACTGCGTAATATGTTCGCAGTATATAAATAATTGTAACTGTGTTGTTTTCTATCATCTCATCTATTTTCTCTATCTCTCTTTCTCTCTCACTAAGGTTCTAATCTAAAAGTAACCATTCTCTTTGATTCAAGGCTGTTGAAAGTTGTGTCATGTTGGCCATCTTCAAAACGTATGATGAAATTGTCTATGTCTGATGCTACTGTCAACAAACTCAGCTGTAAATGTTTTAAAACCGATGGAGAACAGACCAAGGTGATCTTTAAGCAAACAGAAGTGTCTTTCTCATTCTACAGTCTTCCTTGTTTAGAGACCAAAAGACAAGTTAGTGTAGCAAACAGATTTTCTCGTCCTAATGAAGGATGAATGTGACATACGTCTACCATTCATCAAGGTGTCATTCTAACAATAGAATGTTTACGTACATTGTTTTGGTATTTGAGACGTTGGTTATAATCAGTCTTATCCAATAATATATTTGTGAAGTATGAGTAACTATGAACATCACACACAGCTGAATGTCTAATGGTATGTCCAATTGGGAGGGTCATCTTTGCAGCAGTTGAATGTGCCAGATTACATTGATTTCCAAGATGTTTGGCCCACTTTGACAACTTTGTGCTATGTTTAAGATCAGAACAGTTTGATAAGTTTTCCACAATGCATGCAAATTTTAATCAAGAAACTGTTACCTATGACTCGTGTGTCCAACTCTTTGTCTGCCACCTCCTCGGGATCTGCAAAGTTGCTGAGAGATATTTTGGGTGCGGTGTCTGTTTGACTGACAGACCCAATCATTTCTTGCTCTTTATCATGTTGGACCTGAGCATAAATATTAATCCATGGGATTTTCCTGCAGTTAGCAAAAAGGAACATGTTCTCAAAATTAGTCTCTGAATTATTTTAACCAAAATCTGAGCGATCTAAAGCCCATAATATTTTTTTTTACAGTGCATTCTTTAATATCATGGCTGGGGAGACATTACTGATTTTAGACATATTTATTTTGTAAAACACAAACCGTTATCACCATACTGAATGGGTTATGTTCACCTGATTTTTATGTCCCCTTTAAAATGAATGTATTAAAATGACTGTCACCTTTAGGGGTCTTTACATATTTTACAAACACTCCTAAAGTAACATTCTTGCTTTAGCTGTGGAGTCATGTGGTTACAGTGGAAGGTCTCTCTACATACCTGAAGGTGTCCATTGTGGGTGCCACATGCCTCAACTTCCAGAAGCCACATCAGTGCTGTATTATCGCACATGCACAAGAGTACAACACTGATGTCTACTTAGGATCCTGCAGGACCACAGGAGCCTCCATAGGCTAACAGCATTATTTACTAAAGTGAGAATTATTGGGAGTTCAAAGTGAATTCAAATTGAATTTTAAATATGAAGCCAACTTATACAAATAATTATCCAAGTCAGCTATGTTCCCAATTCTACT